GTCTCCTGTGCCCAGAGTACTAATGTTGGCGAGAGGGTGAACGTTTTATTCCCATGTTTGTTCTCACTAATGAAAGGAAGAGGGTCTTTAGAATAGGCTTTACTACATTTCAGCTGCTATATGAAAAGCCTCTGGAACATTTCCAGTTTGTTAATGATGGGGGAATGCTGCTCCCAAGATATATTTTGCATTAAGTGAGTCTGGGAGAATCGAGGTGGAGACAAGGATCTCAAGCGCAGGACCTACCCACTCCCACCTGCGTGCCTCGGGAGTCATGCTCCATCTTGTGCTCTTTGTGATGCAATGAATGGTTCAAGCTGTGTTAAAAGCCCAGCCCAAATTCAGCAGTAGAAAGCGAACCCGCCCAGCTCCTTGTGGTTAGGAAAATGCCTGTGAAGTGAGGGAGGTGGGTTCAAAACCCTCAGGCTGGTAAAGGAAACTAATTCAAGCATCTCATTTGTTAGGGAACTTGCCCAGCCACAGAGCAATCATGCAAAGTGCGCAGGCTCCGTCCAACGGGTCCATGGAGGAAATGCTCCTGCATCACCACACACAGGAGCACCAGACCAGCTAAACCCATAGGGTTAGTCTTGCCTAGTGTCCCCTGCCCCAGTGCAGGGTGGTCACCTCCCAATAGCCTCTGTGCTCTGACACTTATCAAGTAATGTTGGGATCTGGTTCATACTCTTGGCTCAAGCAGCTACTCCTTTTCTGCACCAGCAGGAGTGTCCATGTCCTGTGTTGGCTCTGGAGTCCCATCAACACTCTAGAGCCCTCCATCCTTTCCATGTGTGATGGGTCTTTCTGTGCCAATAGTGCTAGTTTCTAACCCCTTCTGATAAGAGCGGGGGTGACATGGCCTGCTCTGCCACATGGGAGTGCCAATATCCCAGGATCACTCTGCAGCATCTCTCAAATGGCCTCTTCCTGGGTGGCAAGATCTACACTCGCTAAGATCTCCCAAACTTCTCTAACTCGATACTAGGAACCATGCAGAGGCCCAAGAGGGACACAACCTCCCTGACAGGTACATACCTATGCCAAGAGGTGCTTAAATCAGCAACCTTTGGGCACGATAATGCCTGTATTTCTGAAACTCTTTGGGCAGAGTAAAGCATTGCCTGTAGCTTGTTGCAGTATCAGTGTTGCCCTTAGACTAATGAGACCCTGGGATCAACTCAAGTGCTACCAGTAGCTCGGTACATAAACAGTTGTGTTAACAAACCAACAGATGCTCCAGTCCTGTTGTGGTCTGGGACAGCTCAGACCATACACCGCATATGGTTTTCCCCTTCCCTTCCTCAAGCAGCAACAGAGAACTGTGTCGTCACTACGAAAGGATCTGCTGCTCCCAGGACACAGAATGAGCAGCCACTGCTCTGTACATAATTCCACACTAGAGCACTGCAGCTGACCTGATTGCAGGAGCAAAGTGCTTTTCTGTGGAATTTGCTCTAGGTTTCCTCCCCAGGCACATTATTTGCATTCAATCTGCAATTTTAATGACCAATCACTAAGCCTTAAAATGATTTTGCTACTGTCCTCTCACAGCTTTACTTGCCCAAATGACATGGTGGGAGTTGTCACCTCACGGTTTACCCATTTTCCTAGTTACTGGTATGTTGAGCATCATTCTCATGGTACAAAATGAACTGACAGGCCAACCCCACTACCATGCTACTACACAGTGGTGAGCCATGAGCATCTCCTCTTCAAATGCCTGTTCCTTAGAGCAGAGGGAAGAGTGACTAAATTGGTTTCTGAATTTGCATCAGCACTAAAACATTTAGGCGTTATAAGCCCAAAACCTCAATCTTCTCCATGCTTTGATGGAAAAGCCTGGGATAGAGGTAGCAGTATTATGGCTGTTCTGTCCACAGGGACTACTTAGGAGAGTTATTTTAACACCAAAGAGCAGGCTCCCTTCCTCTGCACTCAGACTACTTTGCTCCACATCTTAAGCTAAAAATGGTCCTCTGGAAAAAAAAAAAATCCTAGGCAGTAACAGAAGAGTGTGGACAATCTCTCTCATTTGAGAGCTAAGCCTCTCAAATGCTCCAGAACACATCCTGGATTCAGGGATGTATGAAGAAACTGTCACCAGGCTGTAGGCTATATTAGACATTGATAAAGGCTTTATGTAAGACAATAAGAAGGTTCAGCTGCTCAGAACTGGCCTCTAGAAATTTAGTGATCTAATCCAGGGTTCGTCAGTAATTGCCCAATTCCCATCAGTTCACTAGGAGTGAGCACCTTCCCGAAGCAGAGCTACACAAACCCAGACAAGTCACATAACTGAGAATACGGCTGGATTCCTACAGGAAAAACACAAGACCAGATGTATTTCACACAGTGTTATTCACACATTTTCATTTTGATTTTTACAGTATATACATGTGAACATTACATTATTCAATACGAGCCACCTGAAGTCAAACCTAATCAAACTGGTCCATAAACAATCTATATCAAAACGCAATACTTGAGTGAAAAATCTAGTGGTTCTACCCAAAGCCTAAAACAGCTGAAAGGAAACCCAGTGATTTTCATGTTCCTGGATAGAATTTGTGCACAAACGATTTTAGAAGAGCAAGTGGAAGATTATGTTCAAGATATTGAAAGCACCAAGGATGATAGTTACAGGACTGTTTCAGTTCAACCACGGCATGAGTGCTACAGGGACAAAGTACTGGGACATTATCAGTTTCTGCCTGGACATCCCCTAAAGCCTGATGTACTGTCTTACATGTTGAAGGAATGTCGGCTCTGTGGATTGTAACACACAGCACAGGTACACAGGGTAAAGATAGTCACTGAGGAGAATTGATGTGTCCAAGAAGTGGCTCACAAGTCATCTTTTGGTGACTATGGGAAAGCTCTGGCTCCAATGACAGGGCTTGTACCTCTTGAGAGGAATTTTGTGAACTGCCATGCAAAAACTACTTGGCAATTAGAATTGTGCTTGCTAAAAATAATGAGGCCTACTACATCACTTCATGCAGGCACTGGAAGTAGGCCAGAACAAACTTCCCCATTTGCCTATTGATGAGTTAACTAACACTGCCCTTGGAAAAGCAGCGCCTCAGATGGATGTGTTAATAACAGTTATGTAAACCTGGTATCAACAGCAACACAACAGAATTCCTTACACAAGTTCATACCACTACCGTTTTCCTTCCTGATGATCACACCCCTACTGCAACAGCCTCTTATTTCATCAATGCTCAAGACATTGTTTCCAAACTATCATGTTGATCAAAACTTTAGGTTAAGCCGTCCAAATGAACGTTTTACACAAAATACTTACTTCAACAACATACAAAGCACTTTCTTTATCTTTCAGAAACTGAATATACAAAGTAAGCTTTTTCCAAAATATTTCCATAGGCAAAGGATTAAAAAGGATTTTAATTATACACATATGGTCACAATTCTGCCTTAAAAAGATCATTGGGAAATGTACATAAGGCCGCTTGTAAATGTACATCATCTTTATGTTACTGTTACAATGTCATATGTCCAGAGAAAAAAATCGACAGTATCATACATATTTGCTTTACGTTGGGAGAAGGCTATTCAAAAATACAGTACTCTTCTGTACAAAAAAATCATGCCACATTTATTAAGATGGAAGAAGCATTGGTTTCTGTGATAACCAAATATTTCAGTCCACTTCTTACTATGCTTATTTATCCTGATTTAAAATTTGAACAGATTGACTTCCCAAAGTGTCCATATGAACAGAATCAACAGCTATGATATAAACAGAACATAATGTTTCTCACAATAGATAAAAAGAAAGCCAGTTCATATTTTTGAAACCATATAAAGATAGAATTTTAAAAAAATCACTCTTGATTTGCTGAAATAAATTTACATTATACAACACTATATGCCAGGGGGATAGAAGGGAGTGGGGATATGAATATACACTAAAATGCAAATTTTTGTCCCAAAAACGGGTAAAACAAATTACATTTACAGCATGAAGGTTTACAAATGTACATCTGTACAACCAAGGTAAGCATCACTACTAAATTAGCAAGGCTTTGTAATAAACATCGAAACGAGAGATTTGTTTTCAAACTGTAAACTTACACCTATTAACTACACGTATACAATGCATATATTTATAGGAAGCAAAAAGCTATCTGAATATTTAATCAATCATGCTTAAATGTTGAGCTATCAGGTTTACTTTTCAGTGGCCCCTTTTCTCTTCATCATTACCTATTTTTTGCGTCTACAGTGAGAAAGCAAAATAAATGCTCAACACTTTCAAATCCTTACAATTCTATATGCAAAATAAAAAAATACAAATCTCTACTCTTCCTGCATTGTAAAACTGACTGTAAAGTTAATACAGGGTTCACTCCTTTTCCAACAGTGTACTTTACTGCACGAAGTACCACCATCATTTTAAACCCTCTACCTTGTACAACAATTAAATATATAAGTATATACAGCACTTTATTTTTAATACATCGCTAGAGAAAACCTCAGGGCACCATTTGAAAAAAAAAAATAAATCTGTGTCCACAGCAAGTGACAACAGCTAAAGTTTCCACTGTTTTGTTATTTCCTATTTTAATTTGCTGTGCCCAGTTTGTTATTTGGATAGGATGTTGTGAACCACCAAAACACAACTTAACTTTTCAACATGTTAAATAATGTTTATGCAGCTGATCAATTTTAATCTGGTATAAAAGACTTCACACAAAAGGGAAAAAATAAGGATTAATTCTATATACAACTCTATAAACCTGTTGTGCTATGATGCTGGGTAGACCTACCAGATTGCAAGCCAGTGTATTAAAAGAATACTGTACTTTTTCCCTTTAAAAACTATTTCAGTGACTTTACAAGGTAAAAATTTACAAAATATGTGACAGCTATTTTGATACAATTACATCATATACAGGCATTCTGTGCTTTGCCAGCCATCCAATCTGATAGGTCTCCAGATCAGGGCTGGAGATATTTTTTTCTTTTTTTCTTTAATAATTCACTCCCCAAAAATATACACAAGAATAAAAATTTTACAAATGGATGAACAAAGTCAATAAATAGATTTAAAAAAATCAGAACATTTAGAGTTAAGTTGTAGGTTTTGATCATTCACAATTTAATTTTTCTTCCATTTCTTTTTGTCTTTTACAGCATCCCATTTGGTGGTCCACCAATTGGCCCCAGATCAGCACTGTTCTTCAGGTAATACTTTTCCAGCTTGGCCAGAATGTGTTTGCCATAGGTATATTTACGCAGAGTCGTGATGTGAGGTCGAATCTGTAATAAGAAACAGGTTAATTTTTTCCCTCATCCAAACTTTTAAGTAGAGGTGACTACACTTTCAAAACACTATGCAAAAATATGCCAGAAGCCTGTATTACAGCATTTTGGAAGCTTCTGGAAAGATGTAAAATTCGTGTTTTGTACACACCAACTGACACACCTAGCACAGAAGGGGGGTAAGTACTTTTGTGGGAGAGCTCTGGTGGTGACTGGGGGAAGGAG